AAAGAATGAGTTACTAACTCCACTCTATGTGGTTTATACTGCAAGTGCATAGCAAATAAGGAATAAGTTACTGACTCCACTCTATGTGGTTTATACTGCAAGGCATAGCAAATAAAGACCGAGTTACTGACTCCATTCTATGTGGTTCATACTGTAAGGTATAGCAAATAAAGACTGAGTTACTGACTCCATTCTAAGTGGTTTATACTGTAAGGCATAGCAAATAAAGACTGAGTTACTGACTCCATTCTATGTGGTTCATACTGTGCAATAGTGAAAAAGTTTCTCACATATGCTAACATATACTTCACATTGAGCTAAAATTAAAATTATTTAACATTTATAACAAACCCATTTTACTTCATGGATCAGAAATATGGGAATTAGATATTAATGACAGTAAGAAATAAAACAACAGAAAAAAATGAATAATAAACAAATTTTACAAGTGAATACTATTGGGAACTCCTGAGCAAAGCACAACAACTACTCAGCATAGTAAAGTAATAATATATCATGATTGTTTCCCAATAAGCACTGTGTGATATTTTATGACTTAAATATATATTAATAAAAATAAGTCTGTGAAAGAAATCTGTTAATGTTATTCTCAAGACATTATGTGAACTTTCATGCACAAAGGTACAATCACACACACAAACGTCATAAACGATGAGAATAAATACTTCATAAACGATGAGAATACAAACGTCATAAACGATTTGATTACAAACGTCATGAACGATGAGAATACAAACATCATAAACAATGAGAACACAAATGTCATGAATGATGAGAATACAAACCTTGAATTTCTTGTCATATCCTTCAAAAGCTTCCATGACCATCAGTGCTGCTTCCATAACCCTGTCGAGCCGACCATCAACGCCATTAAATCGATACATACTACCACTTACATCAATGACTAAACGAAGAATCTTGGGAAGAACTTGAGGTGTACCAAGCTGTGAGATAAAACATGTATGAATCTAAAGTGCTCTAATACATCAAGTGTATGGAGCCCAAAGTGCACTAATACACCAAGTGTACGGAGCTAAAGTGCTCTACTACATCAAGTGTATGGAGCCAAAGTGCTCTACTACATCAAGTGTATGGAGCCAAAGTGCACTACTACATCAAGTGTATGGAACCAAAGTGCACTACTACATCAAGTGTATGGAACCAAAGTGCTCTACTACATCAAGTGTACGGAGCTAAAGTGCTCTACTACATCAAGTGTATGGAACCAAAGTGCACTACTACATCAAGTGTATGGAACCAAAGTGCTCTAATACATCAAGTGTATGGAACTCAAAGTGCTCTACTACATCAAGTGTACGGAGCTAAAGTGCTCTAATACATCAAGTGTATGGAGCCAAAGTGCACTACTACATCAAGTGTATGGAACCAAAGTGCACTACTACATCAAGTGTATGGAACCAAAGTGCTCTACTACATCAAGTGTATGGAGCTAAAGTGCTCTACTACATCAAGTGTATGGAACCAAAGTGCTCTAATACATCAAGTGTATGGAACCAAAGTGCACTACTACATCAAGTGTATGGAACCAAAGTGCTCTACTACATCAAGTGTATGGAGCTCAAAGTGCTCTACTACATCAAGTGTACGGAGCTAAAGTGCTCTACTACATCAAGTGTACGGAGCTAAAGTGCTCTAATACATCAAGTGTATGGAGCTAAAGTGCTCTAATACATCAAGTGTATGGAGCTAAAGTGCTCTACTACATCAAGTGTATGGAGCCAAAGTGCTGTACTAGAACAACTGTGGGGAGCTAAAGTGATGTACCAGAACAAGTGTATGGAGCCAAAGTGCTGTACTAGAACAAGTGTAGGGAGCTAAAGTGATGTACCAGAACAAGTGTGGGGAGCTAAATTGCTGTACTAGAACAAGTGTGGGGTGCTAAAGTGCTGTACTAGAACAAGTGTGGGGAGCTAAAGTGCTGTACTAGAACAAGTGTAGGGAGCTAAAGTGCTGTACTAGAACAAGTGTAGGGAGCTAAAGTGCTGTACTAGAACAAGTGTAGGGAGCTAAAGTGCTGTACTAGAACAAGTGTAGGGAGCTAAAGTGCTGTACTAGAACAATTGTAGGGAGCTAAAGTGCTGTACTAGAACAAGTGTGGGGTGCTGTACTAGAACAAGTGTAGGGAGCTAAAGTGCTGTACTAGAACAAGTGTGGGGAGCTAAAGTGCTGTACTAGAACAAGTGTAGGGAGCTAAAGTGCTGTACTAGAACAAGTGTGGGGTGCTGTACTAGAACAAGTGTAGGGAGCTAAAGTGCTGTACTAGAACAAGTGTGGGGAGCTAAAGTGCTGTACTAGAACAAGTGTGGGGAGCTAAAGTGCTGTACTAGAACAAGTGTAGGGAGCTAAAGTGCTGTACTAGAACAAGTGTGGGGAGCTAAAGTGCTGTACTAGAACAAGTGTAGGGAGCTAAAGTGCTGTACTAGAACAAGTGTGGGGAGCTAAAGTGCTGTACATGATGATGGCTACAATATCACATAGTGTGGAGACTGACATGTATACTACATACTTCTGGATCATGCTCTCCTCTTCGTTTATAAATTGCTCTCTCACCAGTCAAACCTTCTATTAACTTAGCATCATCTAGATCACCGGATGTCTGATGACGCAACCACTGACGTTCTTTTCCCTTTGCCTTTAAAACAGTAAAACATGTACATTATTTCAATTAGTGCATCAGATGAAATAACTTTAGCTATGTAAGGTGTGTTAAAGTGAGTGTGTATTAATGGTGACCTTTATCTGCTTAATTAATCTGCATCTACAACTAAAGTGTCTTGTGTGTCATGATTGGTCTATAAATTCAATAACCCGTACTTATTGCACCACAGCCATTGCATACGATCTGTTACTTACTTGTAGACTATCCAGTATAACCCGTAGTGACTGTACTTGTCTTCTCACTCCAGATGAAAACTTCTCATATAGTTCAGCATCATACTCTGACATCTCTATTTCCTTCAGTCTTAAAAAAAAGTTATCAGAAAGACAAAAAGAAAGAAGTTTTAATTGCAAGGAAATATACACAAATCAAAAATAATTTCCATGACATAATACTATGTATTAGTTATTCTGTCAAGAATTTCACAAACATTCCAAGGATGGCACCTGCAACAATTTAAAATATGCGAAATATTACACTATTTTATTCAATAGTATGTACATATTTGAACCTCAAACTAATCAAGGCTGCAATAATACAATAGGCCACACGCCTTTTGGAAAACAGTATACAGTGGCCACTCATTTCATTAAATACTTTTGTTGGTTGTATCAATAAGAAGTTTGGCTGGTTGCATAGAAAATAAGCAAGATTATGTAACCTAATCAAGGCTATAGATGACAGAAATTATTTTAATTGAATTTGAGTGATCAGTTAAGAAAAATTTGAGACACAGATACACACAGACAGAGTAAACACAATGATCTCCTTTGTGAGCTTTGAAAATGAACCCAAATCACAGTACCACATACCTTTGCTTGAATGCTTTTTGGGCCATTTCTCTTGCAGCTCTTTTCACCTAAAAACATTCACATTATTTACAATTTATTGTTTCTCAATTCAAGTACTTTCTTCATCATATAAATTCTACATACACCAGACTATTGTGATATTAGCATATGGTGCAGATTGCAACCCTTACCTCTTCAGGTACAGCATCTTTTTCAGCTTGTGTGACTTGTGTGACATCATGTCCTGCATCTAGTCGATAGGGACCTCCCATGCCACCTAAACCAGCTGTATCACGACCACCTAATGCAAACAAATATAGAATATGTGCAGCTGGATGTTCAAAAACAAGAAAACATTTTTCATGTATCATTGTTAAATGTTTTATACAAAACAAATCGATGCATATTTATTTTATATTTTCAAATAATAAATCAAAAGCAAAGTCAGGAAATATGGAAGAGGTCTGTATTATGGATTTGATGTCAGTATATTGATTTTGAAGAAACATTACAAGATAGTGACTTACCATATTACCATGTATCACCCCATATATAATAGTTACTTACCAGTTCTCCAGCCCACATATTACCCATATAGGATAGTTACTTACCAGTTCCTCCAGCTCACATATTACCCATATAGAATAGTTACTTACCAGTTCCCCAGCTCATATATTACCCATATAGAATAGTTACTTACCAGTTCCTCCAGCCTACATATTACCCATATAGGATAGTTACTTACCAGTTCCTCCAGCTCACATATTACCCATATAGAATAGTTACTTACCAGTTCCCCAGCTCATATATTACCCATATAGAATAGTTACTTACCAGTTCCTCCAGCCCACATATTACCCATATAGGATAGTTACTTACCAGTTCCTCAGCTCACATATTACCCATATAGAATAGTTACTTACCAGTTTCTCCAGCTCACATATTACCCATATAGAATAGTTACTGACCAGTACCTCCAACCCACATATTACCCATACATGTATATAATAGTTACTTACCAGTTCCCCAGCCCACATATTACCCATATAGAATAGTTACTTACCAGTTTCTCCAGCTCACATATTACCCATATAGAATAGTTACTGACCAGTTCCCCCAGCCCACATATTACCCATATAGAATAGTTACTTACCAGTTCCCCCAGCCTACATATTACCCATATAGCATAGTTACTTACCAGTTCCCCCAGCCCACATATTACCCATATAGAATAGTAACTTACCGGTTCCCCCAGCCTACATATTACCCATATAGCATAGTTACTTACCAGTTCCTCCAGCCCACATATTACCCATATAGCATAGTTACTTACCAGTTCCTCCAGCCCACATATTACCCATATAGCATAGTAACTTACCAGTTCCTCCAGCCCACATATTACCCATATAGCATAGTTACTTACCAGTTCCTCCAGCCCACATATTACCACCTACATGAGGTTGATTATCTTTATCTATTTTTCCATGCTTGGGTCCTGTCACATCTTTGCCACTTTCTTTTTCATGAGTGATCTGGAATTAAAACAACAAGTATAAGCAAATATATATATCAAGAGATAATTATTATCAGAATAGTTATCAAAGACCTAAAATGTTTAAATGACATACCAAATTTGAATGAAATATGTACATACACGCAACCAAGATTCAGTGTTGGAATCATATTTTTGTGAATTCTTATCACTTAAATTAAATTAGATAATGAAAAAAAAGCATGTGCTTATATGTATGATATGTGTGATATATAGATTCCAAGTTTGAATGATCGGTATAACATGTCAGAAATATGACACTGGAACTGCCTTTGTTAAAACAAAATTATGGCTGCCAGTTGGCAATTTTCATTTCAATCTGAAAAATGATTTGTCCATGCATGGCTGAGATCCAGTTCCGGAATGGCAGTAATACTTGCATACAAATGCATATGCTTAAGGGGTATGTGTCAAGTTTGAATGTAATCAGTCAAACGAGTCAGAAATATGACCCTGGAACTGCATTTGTGAAAAAAAAGGTAACCAGTTGGCCAGTAACTACCGATAACACCTGAGCAAAGCCAAGTGACTAACTCAGTGTAGTCATCAATGATCGTTACAGCGAGTGCAATAGACCATTTTTTAAATTGTCACCATATGCCAGCCAGGCAGAGGGGCTGGGCATCTTTGGTCTGAGTTTCAGTGTCAACTTGCAGCTTTGTTTTCAGAAAATATTTACATTTACCTTAATTTGGTGATGCATACACTCTGGTTTCTACTAGGGTGTGTTTTTTTAGAAATTGAACTTTCGCGAAAAGTTTGTGCCTCACATACCCATATATAATTAATATAATAATAATTAATCTTATTCACTGGGAAGGAACCAATGTCTGCACTGACAGTTTGTCAAAGCAATATTCTCTCCTAAGCTGATTCACCCGCATTTCCACAATTTGGTTTAGGTTTGCACTGAAGTTCTCTAGAAATTACTATGCAAGCTATGTGGGTGCCAATAATTGTTTAGTCCTAACACAAGTTTTTGTATGAACAAAAATTGTTGCACTAATGTAAATATCACACAGTGCTTATCGAGGAAACAAGCCGAATTTGTTATTTTACACTC